TGTGCCAAGTCCCATAGCCCCCCTACCCACAAAGAAAAGGTGATAGAACAAAATTTTTGACGGGCGGGTGGCTCGCACCTGCAATCCCAGCTACTCACTCTAGAGGCTGAAGTGGGAGGACTGCTTGAGGCCAGTAGTTTGATACCAGCCTGGGCAACAAAGTCAGACTGTCTCTAAAAAAATTAAAATCAAGATTTCCCCTCCGCTTCCTTCTACTGAACTGAACTTGGGAGCCAGGGATAGGAAGCAAACGATGAGAGGCAGAGTCATGTACTGGAAGGAGTGTAGCCACTGTAATTGGATGGACGTGGTTCAAATCCACTTCTATTTATCGTGTGTCTCATCTTGGGCCATTTAGTTACTCTGAGTCTCGCTTTGTTTTCATTTTAAAAATGAAGATAATGCTTAAGTAGCAGAGTTACTGTGAAGATTAAATAAATGAATGTGTAGAAAGCATGTAACACAATTGGCTAATAGAATGAGCTTGATAATGGTAGCTATTACACTTACATTTGGGCAACATTTCATAAAATATTTATCGAGAAAAAATAAGAATGCTATGCCTAATTTTTGTTTTTATTTAATTTTAAATCAGAGCCGGGTGTGGTGACTCACGCCTGCAATTTCAGCTACTGGGGAGGCTGAGGTGGGAAAATCACTTGAGACCAGGAGTTCCTGACTAGCCTGAGCAACATACTGAGATCCCTGTCTCTAAAAAGGTAAAAAAAAATCTAGCCAGGTGTGGTGGTATGCACCTGTAGTTCCAACATTTTGGGAGACTGAGGTGGGAGGATCCCTTTTCTCCCGGAGTTTGAGGCTGCATTAAGCTATGATCATGCCACTCCACTCCAGCCTGGGTGACAGTGCAAGACTCTGTTGATAGACAGACAGACAGATAAAGAGAAAATCCATGACCAACAGAAGGTGAGGTAAGGTTAAAAAATAAGATAATTCATAATGGAGACTAGGTCTCCATCCAGGACATTTTTGGCTTGTCAAAACTGGGGGTGGGACCAGGTGAGGTGGCTCATGCCTGTCATCCCAGCCATTTGGGAGGCCAAGGGAGGACTGCTTGAGGCCAGGAGTTCAAGACCAGCCTGGGCAACATAGAGAGACCCTGTCTGTAAAAGAAAAAACAAAACCCAAAAAACTAGGGTTGTGGTGGTGGTATTACTGTTACCTAGTGCTGAATGCCAAGGATGCTGGTATATACCATGACATGCATAGGAATTTCCCTATGTCCGCCCTTAAGAAAGAACTATCCAGCCCAAAATGTCAACAGTGGGCAGGTGATGGTGGCTCACGCCTGGAATCCCAGCACTTTGGGAGGCTGAGGCAGGTGGATCACCTGAGGTCAGGAGTTTGAGACCAGCCTGGCCAACATGGTGAAACCCTGTCTCTACTAAAAAATCTAAAAATCAGCTGGGCATGGTGGTGGGTGCCTCTAATCCCAGCTACTTGGGAGGCTGAGACTGGAGAATTGCTTGAACCCAAAGGTGGAGGTTGAGGTGAGCCGAGATCATGCCACTGCACTCCAGCCTGGGCAACAAAGCAAAACTTTTTCTCAAAAAAAAAAAAAAAAAAAAAAAAAAAAAGTCAATAGTGGTTGAAAAACCTGGACATACATATATATGTGTGTATATATATATATTTCTTTCCTTTTTTTCTCTCTCCTCCTTCCTTTCTTTAAAGTATACAACTTCAGTGAGAAATGGAGCATATTTTATGAAAAAAGAAAATCCTATTGATTTTCTTTTTTTCTCACTGACTAGAAATCTGGTCCACACTGCATCTGGTCCAACAGTGTTACGACCAATGTAGCAACAGACTTTCCACCAAATTTTCACTTTACCAATGGAATGACAGACTTTCTGCCAGATTTCATTGGTTAACAGTAATATAAAATATAAGAAAAAGACAGAATTTCAAGAAAAAGTCAACAATTGATATCCATCTACAAGGTATCTGACCGCCATGACTGGGCATTTAAAGTACCTGGTAGTAGACTTCGCAAATGATCCCTAATGTTTAAAAACGCAAAGTGCCGTGGTATTTGTGTTATGACATTTAAACTCAGAATTTATGTAGTAAAGAAAAATACTCACCAAAATACTTATAAGCCACACACTTAAAATTCATTGAACATTTATGAAAGCTCCAAAATTTAAGCCATAGCATATGTATTTATTTTTTAACAAAATATAAAAAAATATAAAGTATATTGTTTTTTATACATTTTGATTATACTAAACTTGTTAATTTAACATTAGTCAAATAAACGTAGTTATTTAAAAAATGCTGAGTACATGATTAAGATGAATTTTGTTTTCCATTAGAAAGAGAACTTCAGGAGTAAATAATGGTCTACAGGTGCTTCCCATCCAGAACACTAGGTCTTCATCTTTTGTTTCTTAGACCACTCAGGTGCTTCTTTTTTAGTCTGTTTAAAAAAAGCAAAAGAAAATCCAATAAAATGCTTACAAGGAGGACAGGAGAGGCAATTCAGAGAACTATATACACTGAGGCTTTTTAAAAAATGTAAACTATACTAAAAAATTGCTTTTCTTAATTCAGAAAGGATACTTAAGGGTAAAGACTTTTTCTCTTGTCATGAACAATCTCCCACCTGGTAGATATGTGGTAGAAAAAGCATACATCTAGGCCGGGCGTGGTGGCTCACGCCTGCAATCCCAGCACTTTGGAGGCCGAGGTGAGCAGATCACAAAGTCAGGAGTTTGAGAACAGCCTGGCCAGTATGGAGAAACCCTGTCTCTACTAAAAATACAAAAATTAGCGGGGTGTGGTGGCACATGCCTGTAGTCCTAGCTACTTGGGAGGCTGAGACAGGAAAATTGCTTGAACCCAGGAGGCAAAGGTTGCAGTGAGCTGAGATCGTGCCACTGCACTCCAGCCTGGGCAACAGAATGAGACTCTGTCTCCAAAAAAAAAAAAAGAAAGAAAGAAAAGAAAAAACATACATCTTTGTTTTCTGGCTCAAAGCCTATGTATTTAAGAATTTTTGGCGGTGTGATTATTTTACAAATTGATTTTATTTTCAAAGAGAATTATAAAAAATCAAGGACATGGCTTATTTTTAGTTGTCTCATCTAGTTAGGTAATAGATATTCATTCACTCCATAGATATTAAATAATTACTATATCCAAATTACTGTGTTTTGGATCTTATGAATTTCTAAGTATTCACCAGAGTACTTCTTGGGTTTATTGCTCAATCATTTCAGCCTAAAAGGAGACAAGCTGTACAGAATAGAAAGAAAAAAGTGGGTGCGAGTGTGAACTAGAATAAAACATTCAGAACTTCACTGATTCCAGTCAAACCATCCTATTTTGGCTGGGCACAGTGGCTCATGCCTGTAATCCCAGCACATTGGGAGGCTGAGGTAGGAGGATTGCTTGAGCCCAGGAGCTCGAGACCAGCCTAAGCAACATAGTGAGACCCCATCTAAAAGAAAAAACAAATTAGCCAGGGATGGTGGCATGCACCTGTAGTCTCAGCTAATACAGGAGGTGGAGGCAAGAAGATCACTTGAGGCTGGGCATGGTGGCTCACGCCTATAATACCAGCACTTTGGGAGGCTGAGGTGGGTGATCACTTGAGGTCAGGAGTTCGAGACCAGCCTGGCCAACATGATGAAACCAATGCCAGACGTTGTGGCACACACCTGTAATTGCAGCTACTTGGGAGGCTGAGACAGGAGAACCGAGCTGGAGAAGTGGAGGCTGCAGTGAGCCAAGGCTGTGTCACTGCACTCCAGCCTGGGTGACAGAGCAAGACACCAACCATGTCAAAAAAAAAAAAAAAAAAAAAAAGATCACTTGAGCCCAGGAGGTCAAAGCTGCAGGGTGCTGTGATCATGCTACTATACAGAGCAAGATTGTCTTAAAAAACAATTGAGAGGAAGGTACAGAGATATCCCATATACCTTCTGGCCCCGCACATGAACAGCCTCCTCCATTATTAATATCCCTTAGCACAATGGTATATTTGTTAGAGCTGATGAACCTACACTGACATGTCATTATCACCCAAGGTCCATAGTTTGCATTTGGGTTTACTCTTGGTACTACGCATTTTATGGGTTTGGACAAATGTCTATAGACTGGTATCCACCATTATATGAGTGAGCCAAGATCACTATAATCATACTTGGCTCATTATAGTATTATACATAATATTTTCACTGCCCTAGAAATCCTCATAGATTTTTGCATCTACATTCATGAGATACTGGTCTGTAGTTTTGTTTTCCTGTAATATCTTTGTCTGATTTTGGAATTAGGGCAATTCTGGCCTTGCAAAATGAGCTGGGAAATATTCCCTCTGCTTCTATCTAATGAAAGAGATTGTAGAGAATAGGTATAATTTTAGCTGAGTGCTGTGGCTCATACCTGGAGGCCGAGGCAGGCAAATCATTTGAGCTCAGGAGTTCAAGACCAGCCTGTGCAACATGATGAAACTCCATCTTTACAAAAAATACTCAAATTCGCTGGGCATGGTGGCTGTGCCTGTGTCCCAGCTACTACAGCGGCTCAGGTGGGAGGACTGCTTGAGACCCAGAGGTGGAGGCTGCAGTAAACTCAGATGTGCTACTACTCCAGTCTGGGTGACAGAGCCAGACTCTGCTGAAAGGAGAAAGAAAGAAAAAAAAAAAAAAAGAGAGAAAAGAAAGGAAAGGAAAAGAAAGGAAGGAAGGAAAGAAATTCAACAGTGAACCTATGTGGGCCTAGTACTTTCTGTTTTGAAAAGTTATGGATTAAATTCCTTTAATTTTTGCCTGGGAAAGTCTGTTTTTCTTTCACTTCTGAAAAGAATAATTTTGCAGGGTATAGAATTTTAGGATGGTGGTTTTGTTCTTTTATAACTTTAAATGTTTCACTCCACTCTTCTTGGCTTGCACTGTTTCTGAGAAGTCAGATGTTATCCTCATCTTTGTTTCTCTATAGGTAAAGTGTAACTTTTCTCTGGCTTCTTTCAGGACTTTTTTCTTTTTTTTGAGATAGGTTCTTGCTCTGTCTCCCAGGCTGGAATGGTACGACCATGGCTCTCTGTAGCCTCAGTCTCCCGGGCTGAAGCGATCCTCCCACCTCAGCCTCCTGAGTACCTGGGAATATGGGTGCATGCCATCACTCTCAGCTAATTTTTATAATTTTTTTTGTAGAGATGGGGTTTTGCCATATTTCTCAGGCTAGGATTTTGTCTTTATCTTGATTTTATCTATCTTTCATCTTTATCTAGTTTGAAAATGATATGCTTAAGTGTAGTGCTTTCTTTTTCTTTTTGTATTTATCTTTCTTGGTGTTCTCGAGTTCTCTGGGTCTGTGGTTTGGTGTCTGACATTAGTTTGGGGAAAATTCTGTCATTGTTTCAAACATTTCTTCTGCTCCTTTGTTCCTTCTCCTTCTAATATTCTCATTAAATACAAGCTATAGCTTTTGTAGTCATCCTGTAGTCCTTGAATATTATGTTTTTTAGAGGTTTCTGTTAGACTACACGCCCCGCCCCCCCGTTTTTTTCTGGTGGACAGACATGGTCTTGCTCTGTTGCCCAGGCTGGAGTGCAGTGGCATGATCATGGCTTACTGCAGCCTCGATCTTCTGGGTTCAAGTGATCCTCCCACTTCAGCTCCCTGAGTAACTGGGACCACATGTGTGCACCACTGCGCCTGGCTAAGGTGTGTGAGTGAGTGAGTGAGTGAGTGAGTGTGTGTGTGTGTGTGTGTGTGTGTAGAGATGGGGTCTCTTACGTTGCCCAGGTTGGTCTGGAACCCTGGGCTCAAGTGATCCTCTCGCCTAGGTCTCCCAAAGTGCTGGGATTACAGAAGTAAGCCACTGCGCCTGGCCTGACATATCCTTAAGGTTAGAGATTATTTCCTCAGCCGCGTTCACTGTACTAATCAGGGTATCGAAGGCATCTGTCATTTTTTTTTTTTTTTTGAGATAGTCTTTCTCTGTTGCCCAGGCTGGAGTGCAGCGGTGTGATCTTGGCTCACTGTAACCTTGGCCTCCTGGGTTCAAGCAATTCTCCTTGCCTCAGCCTCCTCAGTAGCTGGGATTACAGGGGCCCGCCACCACTCCTAGCTTTTTAAAATATTTTTAGTAGAGATGGGGTTTCATCATGTTGGCCAGGCTGGTCTCAACCTCCTGATCTCAGGTGATCCACCCACCTTGGCCTCCCAAAGTGCTGGGATTACAGTGTGAGCTACTGCAACCGGCTGGCATTTGTCATTTCTGTTACAGTGGTTTTGATTTTTAGTACTTCTTTTTTTGGGGATTCCTTCTTAGGATTTTCATCTTTCTGCTCACAGTTCCCACCTGTTCTTGCATGTTGTCTACTTTATCTATTGCAGCCCTTTAGTATACTAATCATGATTGTTTTAGGATCTCTGATAATTCCAACATTTGTGGCACAATTGACTCTGGTTCTGATGCTTGCACTGTCTCTCCAAACTGTGTTTCTGGCTTTTACTCTATCTGGTGAGTTTTTCCTGGTAACCGGACATAATATACTGGGTAAAAGAAACTGCTGTAAATGAGCCTTTAGCATAGGGAAGTTATCTTGTGGTCCTATGATTAGGTCTCAGTCTTTCGGTGAGAATGTGCCTCTGGCATGTGAACTTCAAACGTTTCTCAGTTTTTTCCCCTTTTAGGTGGGCCATGATGGCTAGGTGGGCTGGAGTTGGGTATTTCATTTTTCCCAGGTCAGTTAGGCTTTCATAAAGCCCTGGCAGGGTGGGTTCTAGTTAAATAGTTTCTCCTGAGGGAAGACCTTGTTGAGAACAGAGTTCTCTGGCATATTGCAAAGTGTTCTCTTTCCCCTTCCTCCTGGAAACAGAAGAGGATTTTCTCCCAATATTGACTGCAAGAACTAGGTCAAGCTTCTAAAGTTAAAACTCACAAGAGTGTGGGGATCCCTCCTATGACTGGAGTTTTTAACTTTCAGACTTGTCCATACCTAACCTCTAGCAACTCATCAGTAACATTCAGGTTTTCCTACCCCAGCACTGGTTCCCATCCATGCAAGGTTTTGCTCTCATACATCAGCATTCTCTGTACTGGCCTAGCTTTCCAATTTTGGGGGCAGCGGTTCGCCCTGTGACCTCACTTCTCTTATGTATTTAAGAAAAGTTGGTGTTTTTCCAGCTCAGCTTTTTATTTGTTGTTAAGATGAGGAAAAGTCAGAGTAAAACTAGGGAATTGCATGATTCTCATACAGTCAGATCTGGGTGATTGGGAAAGGTGAGCCAGCTAAAAGTCTAGGGCTCTCATTATTCTTGGTCATAGAAGAACATGTCTGCCATTGTTCTTTAAATTGCAGATCTCAACCCATGGGTAATGAACTCTGCCTAGTAGGTAAAGACCAGAATTGCGGGGGGCGGGCGGGGGGAGAGAAGAAATAAGACTAGCATAGAAAATATCAGAGTATTGGCCCTAGTGGGGATAAGTTCTGTTTTGTGAAACTGTGATTGTCACTAGGTCATAATGTAAATGGTTTTCTTAACTGTGACTCCTGGACAAAAAAAGAAAAAGCAACTAGTATAGACTAAGCTACAGATCCTCAAGATTATACCAAAGGATGAAGAATTAGTTTGAACATTCGCATTTCCTCAATCAACTGACACTAAGATGTTTACTATTGCTATTTGTTTATAGGGAGAAGGTAAATAAAAACTTTGGCATTAAAAAGGAATCTTAATACTCAGAAAAGGCAGTATAAGACTTTTTTTTTTTTTTTTTTTTTTCCCTCAGATGGAGTCTTGCTCTGTTGTCCAGGCTGGAGTGCAGTGGCATGGTCTTGGCTCACTGCAACCTCTGCCTCTGGGTTCAAGCGATTCTCCTGCCTTAGTCTTCCAAGTAGTTGAGACTACAGGCGTGAGCTACCACACCTGGCTAATTTTTGTATTTTTAGTAGAGACAGGGTTTCACCATATTGGCCAGGCTGGTGTCGAACTCCTGACCTTGTGTTCTGCCTGCCTCAGCCTCCTAAAGTCCTGGGATTACAGGCGTGAGCCACCTCGCCAGGCCTGGTATAAGAACTTCAATGGCATACGGTTCTTCCTGATTCTCCTTTTATCTGTGTCTGTTACATTGCAGACCATTACTCCCACCCCTAATATGTCTTCTCTTCAGATGTGTTAATGAGACCGATTTGCCACAGTCAAGTGTACCTTATCTTGGGGATTAACTGCCTTGCTACTTCACAGGGTGACTTTTCAGATTTTTGATCACAACCATTTTAATTTCAAAGTCTCTTCCAGTAGGGCTGAAATATGTTCCTTATTCTCAGGTTATTTTCAGTGAACTTCACCATCTCCATCATGTTCTAACTACATTTCACTTAAAAGGTTGGCCCCTTTAGGATCTGACCCATACTTACTTATCTAATCCTATTTCTTTTATTATATTTATTTATTTTTTAAAAAGATGGGTTTTCACCATGATGGCCAGGCTGGTTTTGAACTCCTGACCTCAGGTGATCCACCCACCTCGGCCTCCCAAAGTTCTGGATTATAGGCGTGAGCCACTACACCTGGCCTCTAATCCTATTTCTTGACACTCTCCAACATGAACTAAATTATTTGTACTTGAGATTAGTTTAATGACATTTATTTGACTACCTACTCTGTGCCAGTCCTTGTGTTAGGTTCTGGGGATATAAAAATAAATCAAACCCTGTTACAGAGGCTACTGGAATCACTTCTCGGCCTTTTGGCTCAGATCAAGTGTGGAGGCTGCTGGTGCATCTAGCATATATCTATTTCCCCCTTCTTAACAGAACTCTGATTTTATCAGTAAAGCAACAGAGTCATCCAGTATAAAACATTTATCAGCCTTCCTTGCTGCTAGGTGTGGCCATATGACTAAGTTCTGGCCAATGGGATATAAGTTGAAGATGTTGGGTAGGACTTAGGGAAAAACTCCTTCAGAAAGGGAGGCTGTGTTTTCTTCCCTTTTTCTTTTTTTTTTTTTTTTGAGACGGAGTTTCACTCTTGTTACCCAGGCTGGAGTGCAATGGCGCGATCTCAGCTCACTGCAACCTCCGCCTCCCGGGTTCAGGCAATTCTCCTGCCCCAGCCTCCTGAGTCGCTGGGATTACAGGCACGCGCCACCACGCCCAGCTAATTTTTTGTATTTTTAGTAGAGACGGGGTTTCACCATGTTGACCAGGATGGTCTCGATCTCTTGACCTCGTGATCCACCCGCCTCGGCCTCCCACAGTGCTGGGATTACAGGCTTGAGCCACCGCGCCCGGCCTTTCTTCTCTTTTTCTTACTTCCTGCTTAGAATGCAGATGTGATGGCCAAGGCCAGAGCAACCATACTGTGATTCTCAGAGCAGACGCCACACTCTAAGGATGGCTGAAGAGAAAGGAAGAAGGAAGCTAGGTTCCTGACGACTTCATAGGGCCACATACTTGTCCTGAAATAGTTATCTCCAGGTCTGTAGGTGAGAGACAACAATTTGCTAAAGCTGCTGAACTAGCAGTGGGACACAATTCCTAGAGATGCTGACTCTTCTACCCTTAGTGTATACCATTCATCTATTCATCTTGCATCTTCAGCACGCGGGAAAGTGTCTGGCCAGCAGTAGGTGTTCGATGTCATGCCGCCTTGGATTTTGGTGGTTTGAGCACTTATAGCGCAGTGGTTAAGGCACAGGTTCCAGCCATTTATTAATTTTGTAAAGTGGGCAAATTGAGGACTTCTCAGTTACCTCATATATAATATTTTTCTCCATATTATTTGTCACATTTTCACTTTCTGTTCAATTTATTTATTTTTTTGTTTGTTGGTTTATGGTCTATCTCCATCCAAGAATGTAAGGTCTTATTCCTTTTGTGGAATTAAATAACATCATCAATTCCACAAAAGGCAGGAATTGTTTATATTTCTACTGCTTGGAACAGTACTCGGCACAAAGTAAGTGATCAATAAACATTTTTTCAATGAATAGATGAATGTGTGGGTCTGCTATGACAGAAGCCTTTCAGTTCTTTTTAAGTCTAGACATTAAGTTTCATGTGAGTCTATATTCAATCTTTCTACTATGCAAGACAAAAGAAAATTCTACTACAGTAAAATGCAGTAATATGT